CTTTATCCTCACAGACCAGTCAGCTCCCACAAGAACTAAGGCGCGCAACCCACGTACATGCAACCACTTTTCGAATGATACTCAGGTGCATAGCGCATTCTGAAACAGAGCAATTCCAAAACTTCAGGAAGTGTGCTGATGAGCTTGATGAACTGAGTTCAATGGCAACTCGACCCCTCGAATACTGGACTCTGAACAGACTTATTTCAACCCATTGCATACCGCAGTGCTTTCGCGCTCGGTGGCGCTTGTGCCCGGCAATTTCTTCAGAATCGACGCCCTGACGTGACTGGCGGCGTACAGCACGCGGCGATGTGAAAAAGAAGGTTTAATCCAGAGTGAGTGAAGCTCTAATATTACTGTTTATTTGATTGCAAAAAACCAGACCAGGAATGTTTTTAATAATTTTTCTCTGTAAACGACGAGAACTAGATTTAATTTCATAAAAACTTCATTGCATTCCATCGAATAACAGCACATTCTCAGCTCAAAACTGTTAGCTGCACTGTCTTTGGCATTTTTCTTTACGGAAGACGGCATATTTGTAGAGGTTGAGAGATAGTTCCGAATTATGGCCCTTTTCTTGCTTCTAAAGCCTTGTTAACTGTCATCAATCGACTAATTCAGTTCGATTCCAGCTAATCCCGAGGCTGCAAGTTATACCGAGGTATTCTAATTGAATCAGTCAAAGATGTGCTCTGTCATATGCTTCAGAGAATCAATTAGGATTACATCGACGACTACACATCTGTTCATCTTGACCTTTATTTGTGATGTTCAAGTTAGAAATCTTGTAACAGGATATTTGAGTCATAGCAACCGAAGGATATTGAGATTGGCTGCTTTGTTAATGCGATTGAAACAACGAATTCAAATTGGGATGAAACCACCTAGAGCATTCAATTGTTTACCTTTCCATGTGATATTATATGGAGCACTATCATAAGTGATTCTGTAGTCAATCTTTTGATGACTATGCTGCAGTATAAATACAATAAATGTACAAATGTGCAAAAAGTATCAAATGATCACAGCGGCGCCTTCCTCCTATCCCATGATGCTCAACATTCCGCAATAGTCCGAGATTCCACTGAAATAAATACCCATAAATACAGTGTTTATTCACTATCTGATCTTTTTGCTTTTTATATTTGTGGAATCATGCTATTCTTTCCTTATTCGACAAGACCCACTAGCAATACGGAAAACTTCAAATGTATTTATTTTCAAAGATCTGAGCAGCAGAACAGCCTAAAATAAATATCAGATTCACATAAGGGTCCCTGAGATCAGGTGAGCTTCTTTGATGGACGCTATAAAACACACCTTGGCACTATGATGATCATGGCCGTTAAAGGTACTGTTCACGATCAAAATGATTTCTGAGATTTCCCCATAGGATAAATGCGTGGCCCCTCTTATGCCATATCTAGCGCTATCAGGTCAGAAAACGGCCTAACCAGGGCCTTTCAAAGACTGAGTCGTGTGTATCCATGGACGAATTTCACCGGCACTGCAGAGGTTCCCCATCCACAAGGGAACCCATGTACCCTGATGGACGCTATAAAACACACCTTGGCACTATGATGATCATGGCCGTTAAAGGTACTGTTCACGATCAAAATGATTTCTGAGATTTCCCCATAGGATAAATGCGTGGCCCCTCTTATGCCATATCTAGCGCTATCAGGTCAGAAAACGGCCTAACCAGGGCCTTTCAAAGACTGAGTCGTGTGTGTCCATGGACGAATTTCACCGGCACTGCAGAGGTTCCCCATCCACAAGGGAACCCATGTACCCATGTAGACAGTTCATACAGACTGTCATGATCCATAGCGACAGCGAAAGGCAACTCTGCAGCCTTCTAGTGACTAGTAGTAAAACGAAGAAAGGTAAGCATATAAAGCGCACTGTTTAATGCTTGATTTTTCTGTATGAGTTAATGCCTCTGATGGTTCACTCTTGATTATAGTGACAGAACAAATAACTCACTGAACACCTGCTTGGCTGGAGCACATACACAAGTCGCTGACCTCCTTTTTCCAGTTAATGAGGCGCGAACACTGCTTTATCGCAAGTTTCGCGTTTCGGTCTTCAATATCCGGTTCACAACTGTAATAAGGTTTTGACTCGAGCACTGTAAAAGGTCGTTTTCTTTCAAAGACGGGATCAATCAACGCCTCGAACTTCTAAGCACACTTCAGCTCATCGTGAAGGGTTTGTTCTCTGAGCAATTACTAGCGTCCCAATATTACCATTCGCACTATTTAAAACGAATTTTGCTATAGGTATGAAACATGTAGACGGACTTCGAAAATATTAGCTCTGAGCTCCGAAAAATTTCATTCTAAAACAAGCGAAACTTGTCAAAGCTACACGGAATGTTTACTCTATTTTGCAGAAACGAATTTTTTCGCTGCCATCATCTTCTGATTTTGTCAATATGAGGCTGAGCACCAGGAGAGTCTCTGCAGTCAAATTTCAAATGAGAGGTGTATAGAGGTCATCTGTTCAATGAAAGCCAAGGTTGTAATGTGATGTGATCACAATGTCAGGATAAGAAATGAAGAGGCTGCTAATCATGAGCTTCCATTACGAAAGTGCCTCATTAGAGAACTCACCCTTTCTTGCCAAAGCAGAAACCGTCTTTATTCTTCTCCATGAAGCATAGTTTTATACAGCGCGCCACTGACGCACCGGCGTTCACAACTTGCTGAACATAAAGATTCTGAAAATAAAAAACAATCCATTAGTTTGGTATTAGTCTGAGCGGAAGCAATACTACTTATTTCACGACTCTATATTCTCTTCCTATCTACATATAAACGTTCTTCACTTGAATTCCTCAAAGTACGATATTCCACCTTATTCATTAAAGGCACAGTTCACGATAATTTCGAGTTACCCGTTTTTATTCGAAAAGCGGAAGTATAGATTGGGAATAGTTCATTGGTAGTGAAGAAAGCGAGAGAATTCGCCTACTCCGAGAAAAATNTGGCTCCTCAAAAGTAAGTAAAATAGAGATTGGACGAGATTGGCAAGACGGGAATAACATGGGAGGGGTATTCGGACGAGATTTCGGTTGTTGCACTTGCGCAAAGAGCTGGCTACATCGAGCCAGAACTGTACAGAACTGCCTTTCACTGCCGCTATGGGTCATGACAAGTTGTTTGAACTTCCTACATGGGTTCCCTTGTGATCGGTGCACCACCTACAACTCGTCCGAGTATACACACGGGCCAATCTTCGAGCCTTAATAGCCGTTTTTCTACCTAATAGTGTCAGATAGAGTATATGCAGGAGCCTCAAATTCATCCTGTGTGAGAATCTCAGAACACATTTTCATCGTGAACTGTGCCTTCAGGTGCTGCGCTTAAATGTGCTGTTTTTTCGGATTGGTGTCATGGAGACTACCAGTCCGATTTCTTTAACATGAAACCACTGTTGATTCCGAGCTCGTAGATTTTTGGGAAGTTACCTAAGTGTAGACGAATTTATCTCCACGTTGGCTTTTTTTTTTTTGAAATCTCAGCATTTTTTCTCCTTACAGCTAGTCAATGCTTCTCTGCCAATTGGCTTTTCAAATCAAGATCTACACATCAGACGCTTGGGCAGGTCCGTGGTAGTCAAACATCGGAAAAGGTTCCCAAATTATATGTAGTGTTATATGACGAAGGCTAACACTTTTCTAGTTGCAGAGTTCCAAACAAAGTTTAAATCCCAACAACCGGTTGAGCTGCTCAAGTAGATCCCACCGACGCTGAGCTCAACTTTAGACACGAGGAAAAAAAAGGAAAGGAAATTAAGAACGAAAGAGGGCAGGATCATGAACAGCGCGAAACGAAGCTAAGGTGACATACTCCTTCTAAAATCTCTTAATTTCTCAGTAGTGATCTTTATTCAACTAAATAAAATAGCGTGTTTTTCCGGACAAAATGCTAGACTCTAGAGACAATATTCTCTATATCAGTAAGCCTTTACGACGACAACCCTATCACATAAATGTTTTCTAAAAGAGCTCAATATCGTCTCTGGAAAGACGAGGATTGGGAAGCGTCAAAAGAGCAGTTTATAGCTATTGATTAATTTGAAACTATGCTTAAGAGCAGAATCTCAAAAACAAAATTCCTTGGTCACTTTATCCTTTAGCGCCAGCCCTTGTCGATGCTACACACTTATTGCTGCATAGATGAAACTTTCATTGAAAAAAGTGGTGCCCAGTTTTCATATTGATATCAGCGATGGGAAAGCTTATATGCTATGCTATTAACTCCTCAACCCCTCATGACGATAACGAACTGTTCAGAAAAACCACTGCATGATCTGATTCTGAAGATTCTGTGAGGGTGAATTCAAAAAAAGCCTTAAGAAGAGAGGAGCCAGCAGATTACCACCTCAATTTGCCACCCCAATGTTGCCCATTTTATGGAGAATCAACCCATGTGGAAGTAGCATTGATGTGACTAAGGTGGTGAGTCGTTTCAAGGATAAAGGCATAAAGTTTTTGGCGTTGATCAATCCCGTTTGCGGGATGCGCCCAAGCACTCAACTTCCATTCCCAGTCGTAGTGACATAACGAGTGCGTATGTGGCCTATACAATGACTTGCGGTGGCCAGCCGACGTACAAGTCCGTGCTTTTATCCTCCCAGACGAGTCTGACACCAATTAGTTAACCCCGAAAGGAAGGCTTGCTTGGCCTAAGCGGAAATCGATCCCGGATTCGAACCCGTGACCGTGCGTGCGATATAGTACACCGCTTGCCACCACACCACCTCCACCTGATATCGAGGATTAATGAAAATCATGCTTTGGGATCAAGGCCTTGCTTTGGGATCAAGGAGCATCTTGCTTCTGCAGGTAGGAAGCGATATTCATGGGCCACAAATTTGTTGACATCGAAGGAAACGAAAGGCGAAATTGAGCGAGCGCCACTGTCTAAATAGAACAGCCATTCAAAAAAAAACAGGCAATGTTACGAGATTCGGTTTCTACTTCAGCTTCTCTATGGATTTCCTCAAATGTAAACGAACTTGAATAGACGGTAGAGTTGAGCGGCATATAACAAGGAGCCTAAACTGCCGATCACTCCTGATTATGGCAGTTCTTAGTAATTTTTCTTGGTTGTACGAGTGATTGCGAAAACCGATTTCATCATAAACCCTACAGCTACCTCATAACACAGCAACTTGGAGAAGGAATTTTCTTCAAATTCGGTTAAGCTCGATGATTTTTTGATATTCTCTGAGTATGATGGTTCTATATGTGGCAGAAATTTTCGTAAGGAAACTAGAACGAATACTTAGAATTCACTAGACGAGGAGTTTATAGGGGCACTAGAATCCTGTTTTTGGCTGCCCTCAGCTGTATCTCTCTTCTGGCGCTTGCTATACACTAATCTATCAATTAGTACTAATCAGAAGCAGCTGAAAGTTAGAAAGCAAACTTGGCTACGCAAAATTCAAAATTTCCCACTTCGGGTAGGGCTCCTCGATTACAGTTTTTACTGACCATAAGGTCACCGCAAGCTGGGAGTGAAGTATATGAGGTCATTCATCAATTTAAATGTGTTAACCTTACTCCTAATAAGATCCTGTCATGAACGACAGCTTTCGCTACCGTAACCAGCTTGCCCTACATTTGGTGTGAACATTATCTCACATAGAACACACAGATAATTTCTTTAAAAAAAGATCGAATATGTCGCCGGCTTTCTGCTGTAGACAGAAGGAAGCTTGCACTTCAAGGATCAAAAGATTAAAAGAGTAGGTGATCCTCGCCCTTCGCGGGCATGGTCTATTTACAAAAGAGAAAAATGCAGAAAACATATATATGAGAGAGGCAATAGGTTGGGCCGACACAAGCGACTTCTAAGACTATACATACATAGCGATCGTTTTCGTGCTGGAGCACGAGACCCTCAGCGAAGAAACACACTTCCCTCATTTCTTCTCCCTCTGACGCCATGGGAATAGANGGGGGGGGGGGGGGGGGGGGGGGGGGAAGGGAAGGGTGGTCTGCTAACCAAGTTTTTTCTGCTATCTTTTCGATGTTAGTAGCACTGCAAAGGATTTCAATGGATAAAATGAACACTATCTGTCCACACTACTCCATCTCACTAGTGTTAGCTGAGAATGCATGAACAGCACATCTAACTTTGTAAAACACACCTATCTAACTATTTAGATTACATCTAACTATAAGCTCATGACTAATCTTGCGTTAAGTCTATTATTAGGCACTAGGAAGCGATTGACCTTCACACGATTGGAGGTGATCGAGTTGAGGAACGTTTGTATTTGCTCGTTTACAACATCCTCGACTCTCTTGATCATATCCGGATAGTCGTAGGTCTTCACCACAGTTTCTCGAGCTTTCTCAACGTTGTTTTCACACCTGAAATGAGTTACTTGTACATTTATTTTTTGTAGATACATGTGCTTAGTGAGACTACTCAATATAGAGCCTTATTGAGTTTGAGCTACAACTAATAGTATTCAATGAGCTGACAATCGATCCAACTTGAAATCTACTCTTAGTACTCTTTTTTGAGCAGCCGCAAGTGAGAGTACAATGGAAAAAATAACAAATTTTTTCAATAGGCACTTCTGTCTACCATCACTACAAAGCGGTGCACACGGATAATTTAGCAACAGTGCCTCCTTCTGATCAGCTTCATCATTTATCGTCCGCCACTCTGGGAGCTACAGAATGGAACAACCGAATGCTGCTACGTTCGTTTTTTACTTAACCGCCTCTGTCTCTGTGCTGCCCCCCATAATAGGTATGGCGAAAAGCATCTTACTATCAAAGCAAAAGCGCAAAAAACATGATGATGGTCTAGCCCTTTTTAGGTTTACTCGATTTCATCACTTTATGTACACGTCATCTTTATTTCTTCCCCATCTTTTTCTTACATACCAGCTCATCAAATAGCATCACGTTCTTCCAACGTTACCCATGGCTCAATTCTAACACCATTCTTGATCAATGGAAAGAATTTTGAAGAATGTTTGAAAAAATCATAGTTAACTCATACTCGCACGCTCGCGTAAAACACTCATCATTTGATACCTTTAACGATCTACATGTATAACACATATGTACGTAGTTGAGCATAGATTTCGCCCACAGGGAGCGGACTTTGCGCTAAATTGCTAAAAAGGGTCTGGAGTGTCCAAATTTGGTGTTGGATGAAGCTGCAGGATGGGAACCTTGAGCAGAACTGAAGTCCGCTCACAGGAGCGTGCTCGAAAGTCGTTGATTTGGGCTCAGAGCGTTCAAATTTGGTACGGAAGAGGCTGCAAAATGGGAACAATGAAGGTTGCAGGGTTTCCATGTGGTTGAGTACAAAGTCGCCAACCAGACAATTTGTACTGAAGTGGAAGCACTTAGCTTCCGTACTCACTGCAAAGGGTACTTGAATGCGTACTGGATTCGTTCAATTGATTGCCTTGATTGAACGATCTTGATGGCAGTATGTTCACTCGTATATGTAGTATAAAATAGTGCGTGCAACCTATATAGAGTGCGGTCAATCTTCGATGGCTCCATAAAGTTTAAATTTGGACGGTTAGACGTGCTGCTTTCACCCGAATAGCACCTATACACACTTCTTTGACAAGCTGCACTCCTTGATAGAATAGATTCCTCAGGGTAATGAATGAACAGTGACTCCGGAGTGATGAATGTTGGGAACGTCTAACTCACGCTTTTATTTTGGTGCGGAAGCAATTAACAATGCTATCGACGAATCCACGACGTTTCTGGAAACACGCACGCAGGTTATCGGGATCGTCGGTCAGCGAGAACTAAAGTGATGTTAGGTTGAACCAATTTCTGGATTAAGTAGAAAATATGGAAAATTTAAGAAAATCTAGAAACCCAGGTAGGAGAAATTTGAGGAGTAAACTATACATATGTAATAAACAAAAACTAAAAGGATCGTTGTACTACACAATGACTACGTCAGATTGGAGTAACAGGATTATGCAAAGCTGACTCACCGGTTTGATTTCCTTGAAGCATGGATCGAAACAATCGTAGGCCTGCTGCTTGGCCGAATCGTAGCAATCGGACAGCTCATCGCAAGTGCATTGACGAACCGTCTCGTCACGACGTGAGCCGTGCAACACGTCGATGGTCGATTTTGAGATCTAAGAAAGCACACGGAATCAGCATCGCCCTTCACTTTTACAGCTGTCGAAGACAATCATTCTTGAACACTGTACCGACAGGGCTAATCTTTTGTAGAACTATCTGTCAGGGTTCAGTGAAACTCGTTTCCAAACTACATTGCAACATGGGCATTAGCTTATGAGTGAATTCAGGCGTGCTCCTCCGTGCAGAACCGGGTCAAGACTTCATAAGCTGTACTGAGAAAGTTTAAGAAGAGGCCACGCACACAGCTTTTCTTTCTTTTCCCAACGCAGATCGCTGGACCATAATAGCTGTCTTTCTGATGGTTGACCTACACTTAATAAGAATCCTCCAAGGAATCAAAGACTTCCCTCGAAGGAATTTTTCCCTATTTTCGTAGCTGCACGCCAAGTGATCTAATAACAAGTTCCCACATAAACCAATAAAATTATTCCAATTGTAAGTTGGTATCAAAAATGCGAAGATAGGATAAAGTAAATACTAAAGTTTTCGGCGTTAAACAATCCCGTCTGAGGGATGCGCCCCCTCACTCGACTTCCATTTCGTAGTGGCGTAATGAGTACGTATGCGGCCTATACACGAATTGCGGTGGCCATCCTATGTACATTTCAGTGTTTCTAGCCTCAAAGACGAGTCTGGTACAAATTGACTGACCCCAGAGGGATGGAACGCTTGGTGGGCATCGATCCGGGATCAAACCCTTGACCGTGCGTGAGAGATAGTGCGCCACATGCCCCTACACCATCTCCGCCCTAAAGATAGGATATTAGGATGTATTGCAGCCCAAAAGACGTTGCGCAACGTCTTGTGCCACAATTAGTGCTTGCCTAAGCGTGAACCATGAGCAGCGCTTAACACGGATCCGAACGGGAAATGAGAAAGCGAATGGTAAACTATGGTAAACTGAAGGCACAATAGATGCAAAATGCAAGCCCAACTACCATAGATAAGTCGATTAAGGAATAAATCTCTATACTTTTCAAAAAAATTCTTGGAATAGGTCAGTTGGTGGAGAAAAAGATCATAGAGACCTTACGTCGCATTTGAAGCTAGCCAACATAATTAATGAAGGATGAAACTGATTGAAAAGTGAAGTAGAGTCGTGATCGATATGAGAAGAAAAGGGCGATGAGGGCTTCTAGAAAAAGAGGAGTAATTTTAAAAAAAAGTGATTTCAGAAGGAAGAACATTTAGAGGCTGACGAGAAAAAAAACCTTGACAGCATCACGGGCTTGCTCAGTTCTACTTCTTCTTGCCCAAGATTACGTGAGAATATCATTCCTTCTTCTTAGAGCGCATCTAATTATCAACTTGCACCGGTACAAATAAACATTTCAACTACAGTGAAAGAGGAAATTCAGCGGTTTGAGAAGATATTTTCCTTCTTCCAACAATACTTGCCCGTTATCTAGGTTCCCTTGAAAAAACATTGCTGCGATCACTGGCGGTGAGGAAACAAAATGTTCGCGTAACAGGTAATGCTCACCCTCACCTCACCAGAATACCGCTGCAACTACAAATTCTTCCACTCCTCTGTCTCTACAATTTAATTGCGACAGCAAAGCACAGAAGAGCGGCNGGATTAAGAAAGAGGCTGCTGTATCTGATGCTGGATGTGTTAGTTCTCTGATGAACGTCATTGCTTGCGAAATTGGTGGCCATGGAAGGCTTATCGGTCCGTATGCATAATATATTTGAAAATAATGGACACCCTTGCTCTTTACCCTCTTTTACCCGCTACAGACGGGTATAAGTATGACCTTGAATGTTGTAAGGGAATGTATAGCATATGATATAGAAGAAATGCAACTATCAGTCAATTCTGAAGCACATCTATAGGGGCATCTCAGAACGACCTTCAAAGAGGTGAACGCGCGCCGCTGGTCGGTACTTTGTGCGACACGTTTCGTGAATGTGTCAACCGTTCCACACACGTGACATTGAAAATGTCACAGATGTGTGAATAAGGTAGGATAGGTGGTAAATGACAGTAGCAATGTCGAGATTTCACCAAGCAATATAAGTGTGAGAAATCGCAATGAAGACTACTTCATGCAATAGATTGGCTACTTCAACAGAATTTCTTCTTCTAGACCCAAGAAACCAGCGAGCTTCAAGTTGATGCAGTACGAAGAGGGTTGTTCCGTCCCTTGATGAGAGTGAGTAGAAGCTAGCTCCCAACAAAACTGATAAAGTTATAAAATGTCTCATGAAGCACTTCTGTGATAGAATCTTTGTAGGGATTGCACATGGGCGATGCGAAACTAATCAAGGACTCTACAAAGCTGACCGATCACCACATGCGTGGCGAAGCTCAGCTGAACAGAGAGTGTCGTATGCTTGGATGACATTTGAACTGATATGAATTTTTGCAAAGGGTTTGTTTGTGGTCGATCAGGCAGAATATGGCCTCCAAGGATTTGGGCCAGGTTTCTCTTCAATCAGATTTTTAAATAATTCATTGATGGAAGACACTGGGAAAAAATGAATGGTTGTAGAATCTGACCATGTCGATGAATTTCATGGCGTCGATTAGGCTGAATAGAGTCCAACTGATTATGAATAGTCGTAGTAGCAGGTAAAACATTTTTGTCGGACGTGGACGAACTGATGCCGGCGACCAGAGCGACACACATGCACTACACCGTGAAACAGTCGATGAATTTAAAGTGAATAGATGGAACGTCATCGAATGAAAACCTGCTCGTGTCTCTTGCCATAAAAAACGTATGCAGTTGGCCGAGATGCAAACAGCTCGACTACCACCTTACGAATAGCAAAAATTCTGAATCATTAGTTTTCGAAAAAATTCGTAGTCAAAGGGTGATAACGCCGACGATATTCAGCCACCAGACTATTTGAAAATGTCATTTTTAGAATTTAATTACGTACAATCTTCAATGCTTCTCGTCAACTTTGAAACTTCATGTAGTTACAGCATCAACACAATAGTTTTTCATCTACAATCATCCTTCCCGGGTGTGGTGCAGAAGGATCGATTGCCGCGTAGCGTTGAGAGTGACGTCGCGCCCGCGAAGGAATGTACTGATTTCCCAATGGAGTTTGAATTGTGAATAATTGCCTGCCATCATTAGTAAGAATAGATTGACATGGTATTGCCAAATGAAAGCATGGTGCGTTGCGCAAGTTTCCGTATACCAACATTCCAGCTTGCATAAAAACACCAGGCAACCCTTCGCCTGCGCCTGTAAGACCGAAAGAATTGGTAGCATACTGCCATAATTGATGGTTTCGTTGTTTCCTCTACACAGCCATAAATGTAATGGAGAAAAGGAATCTGTGATTTGTACTGCGTGCTTATAGAGAGGCGCCAGTCTCTTTTCCAGTTTAAAATCTTTCTTCATTTTTCCCACTCTATAAATGGAACCTGCCAACAATGTGTGCGAACACATGAGCTGCAGAAGATCGATTGATGACTGTGTTGAAGTCATTATTTTTTAGTAATCTATGCTTTATAGGTCGATCATTTAGATTGATACACTGCAACGACTGACATTCAGAGCTGATTAGAGCTTACAATCGGTGAAGGGTTTTTTTTTTCAAATACCCTAAAATTCAATAGATAAGAGCGGTTGAAACTACCGGTGAAAATGAATTGGAATGAAATTGAAATTGAATGCAGTCACCCTCTAATTTGATGGATGAATAAATTAAACTTCGAAGAAGAAGTTAAGAAAAAGCTCCGCCCCTTAACTCCAAACCCCGTCCACTTAATAAACAATTCATATAGAAAAATAGCGATCCGTTAGGTTTGGAGTTAAGGAGCGGAGCTTTTTCTTAACTTCTTCTTCGAAGTTTAATATATCCATCCATCAAGTTAGAGGATGACTGCATTCAATTTCAATTTCATTCCAATTCATTTTTCACCGGTAGTTTCAACCGCTCTTATCTATGGAATTTTAGGGTAGTAGAATTGCGAAACAGGTCACTAGTTATAACACTATATCGATTTGGTTCGCCCTTCGGAATGAGATGGATGATTGATTAAACTGAAAGGGATGCATAGAACATGTGACAAACATTATATTTATTGTTCTCGAACGTCAGCAGAAATATGCCACGGCCGATAAGGACCAGTCCAGACAAACGATTGAGAATATCTGCCTTCGTTATGTAATCTATTATAAAATTGTAATCCAGAATCGAATCGTAGAGTTTAGGAGTGGTACTTAATGGACTTTTAAAAAGCAGCAAGGAAAATTTTCGTTCCTTTCTTTCCGTGCTCAGCTTTAGAGGAAATGCAGTTTCTGTCATATAGTCGAAAGCAACTATTGGGCAGGGATAGCCAAGTGGGTAAAAGTGTAGGCTCACGTCTGCACTTAAGAGGGAGCCCGAATTCGATCCCTGCCGATGCAGTTCCAGGCCTTGCAATAATGGCAAAAAATGGCATCGGTTTCAGCGTCAGGCCCAGGTTGATAGGCCGCCAACCATGTCTAAAGTCTCAAAAAGTACCAGGGATAGAGCTAGGACGTCACCCGGAAGTGGCGCCCAGGAACCCCACCCATGCCCTGTGGACAGTATGCGAGGACTACCGAGAAGTGAACGACTTCGGCCAGAGAAGTTATTTCGAACAGGGATTCTGAACGTTAGACCGCCTACTGGGAAGTCCCAAGAGGTGGCTAATCTTATGAAAGGCAGGAACGTCCAAGTCCTATGACTTCTGGCGACCCGGTGGAAAGGATCAAAAGCCAGAGAAATCGAAGAGGGTGTCAAGCTCTTTTATAACGGAGAAGACACAAAACGAAATGGAATGGCCATAGCTGTGGCGGAGCCCCTTAAAGACTCTATCTTCACGGTCAACAGGATCAACAGTCGAATCATGGACATGAGGATAGAATGAGTTCTATCTGAACCTTGACGGGGCCATCCCATCAGTTCCGGATGGGAACTATCGCACTATCGGAGGCGATCTGTATGGTCACGTCAATAGCGAAAAGAGGGGATGGGAAAGGATTGATGGAGGTAGAGGAATAGGTGTTAGAAACGGAGAAAGAGAGAGGACTCTCGACCCGGCCGGCAATCTGCAGCACCTTCTTCGCAAAAAGAAAAACTCAGAAGGTAACCTACAGCAGTGAAGGGAAAGAAACTGAAATAGATCATGTGCGCGTAAGATGATCGTCCTCAAAACTGTAAAGGACATCAAGGAACTTCCTAGAGAAGATCTGGCTCCACAGCACAGGCCTCTCCTAGCACACAGCCTGCGATATTCTCAAGGGAGCGAAGACGAGAACAAAACGAATGATCCGGTGGAGGAAGCTCACCGAGTTGGAAGGGAACACCCTAAAGAGAAGATACTAGAGGCCGGACTTCCAGTTCTCGATGGGCAGCTCCAGTAGACCTGCAGCAGCGCTGTAAAGGACATCCTACGATGTGCAAAGGCAACGCTGTGGAAAACTCGAGGTACGTTCCGAGGAAACAAGGAAGCATGGTTTTGGAACGATGAAGTCCAAGGAGTTGTGAGGCAAAAGAAATCGGCCCACATGCACTTACAAAGGTTACCCATAGGAAGCCGAGATGCCTACAGAACTTGCAAAAGGCTTGCTAAGGCTGACGTAGCGAAAGCAAGAATACGGAAATGGATGTCTTGTACGAGAAACTCGATGGCTGAGGAGGAGAGGTGTTCTTCTTCCGATAGACGAAAGCGCTTTATCGTGCTGTTCAAGATATTGTGGTGGTGAAGTCTCCTGAGAAACGGAAGATGCAATCCTGGGGAAGTCTGGTGAGGTCAGGCGTAGGTGGGAAAAATACTTCGACAGACTCCTAAACGAAGAATACCAGCGTGAGAGCATTCTCCAAATAGTAGCCACGGCTGTTCCCATTTAATTCTGAACAGAGGATGAGGTGCGTAGAACAAAAATGAAGGTTGTGAAGGCAACTGGTCCTGAAGGGGTACCGGTCGAGGCATGAAAGGCGCTTGAAGGGCATAGGATCAGGAAGCTCCTCACTGACCACCGAAGGAAGAATCCCAGATGCCTAGGGGACCAGCACTGTCGTTCCCATATTCAAGCACAAGGAGAACGCG